AAACACGAAGCTCTAAAGAAAGGAAACTTCCTTACCCATTGCTGCCTGCAAAGCCAGGTGAAATTAATGCAGGTTTTCCCATGAACTTCAGTGAGCTTTAGTGTTCAGCTTTCTGCTCGTAGACTTTTGACCCCATCAGGTTGATACACGCTCTAAAATACACCTTGGCTTTGTAAAGCATAATGAAAATAATTATAGATAGATATGTGTCTATTTTAATCTCTATTTCTATTGTATTCCAGCTCCATGAGTGACTCATCCCTCTCTGTTCTTTCTGGAGCGTGCACAAAATGGAAAGCAGCTTTATGGTGCAAAGAAAACTTTGGCTTTACTCTTCCTGATTCTAAAGGATGTTTTGGTAAAGCTCATCCAGGTGGGAGAATTTGGCCTCAATCCAAAGACAGCTCATGTATCTTCAAAACTTCTCTTTGCTGGCTGAAAGGAGGCACCACTGATACCCAAATCCAAAATGAACCTCTCCAGAGGGCTGGATTAGGATAGGTGCTGCATGGAATATGGGTATTGGGATTGCATATGGAGCAGTACTTCCAGACTCACACCAAGCAGATGAGATTTTTTTCTGTATTAAGAAAAGAATTGAATGCAAATGGAGAAAGTGTTTCTAATTTCCGTGAGTCATGGAGAACTGAGGTGTTTTCAGGTCATAGAAGGTCCCTCTGAATGCACTTAACCATGGATTTCCTCACCCTGGATGGGTCTTCTGCTTACAGGCACCCATCAGATGATGCCACCAGGGCAAGGCCACCCCGGTTATACCTGTGAACGAGTCTGAGCTGTTTTTTATTACTAGGAGATGTGACCTAAAAGTATGCAACAACCATACCCCGGTGCTCTTATATAGGTCTGTAGAACAAGGACATGTGTTTTTGAGATATGCAATTCTTTGCTTTCATACACGTGGACGTACAAGAGCGGCGGCTTCTTTGAATGTGGCTCGAAATGGTGTTTGTGGTTGTGTAGGGACTGACATGTAAGTCAGGAAAGGGGCATCTCCTTTCAACAGGACAGGCCCTACAGCTTCCACCTCCTTCTCACTTATTTCACAAGGGCAGAGTTCAACACCACTACCCCAAGGAAA